TCTCTCTCTCTCTCTCTCTCTCTCTCTCTCTCTCTCTCTCTCTCTCTCCTCCCTCCTCAACTCCCCTCCCCATGCCCTAAATAAACTCTATTCCACACTATGGCTGGTGCTCCAGAGGGAAGGGCACCTCAACATGACCTATTGAGGCACCCCTCCCACCTCACCATTCCCTGCTCTACAAAAACATATTCCTGGATCTCCTTTTTTTTTTTTTTTTTAAATAAAACACAACACTTCCCCTTACCTCTTCCCCTTCCCTTGCTTGGAGTCCTAGTAGTCTGAGAGGCATGAACCATCCAACCCCAGTGGAGGAACCCTGCCCCCCAGGGCACTCACCATGTTTTGTACCAAATCTTGCTTGTTCCTGGCTGAGTCAAGTGGACTCTTTGTCCTCAGCACCATCTGTAGCACCATCTTGGGAGTGTGAGAGGCTGAAACACAGGGTGAAGGCCCTGTCTTCATCTGTGCCCCCAGCCCACTGCTGGTCAACACACAGAGTGAAGGCCTGTCTTCATCCGTGCCCCCAGCCCACTGCTGGTCAACATCCTCAACACCTCTCTGAGGACTCTTCTGCTCTGAAGTCTCAAAGCAAGGACAAGCGGCATACACAAAGCAAGAAAAGATTGGGCCCGCCACGTTCCCTATCCTGGGTTTGCACCACCGATAGCTCAGCCTCTCCCCATGGGACCTAAAGAAAGGCTTGGAGGAGAGCAGCGGACAAAGCAGAGCTGAGAGGAGTGTGACGACGCTTTGGGCATGACGTGGATAGACTGTAAGAACTGCAGGATCATCAGGATGTGGTGCCATCCACTCCATAGTGGCCACTATCTAAAGTACAGGCTTGCCTCTGTCGGTTACAGCATCCAGCTGTGCCACGGGTGGAAGAGAGCCTGCATGCAGGTCACCAGGGCTACAGAGGGTCCCATGGTCTAGGCAGCAGTCTGATACCACACGGCAGAATTTATCGCAGTAGCAGCTTCCTCTCTTGCAGTGGTGATTGGCTCCCAGGCAGCAGAGAGGCTGGGGTTGGGAACAACTGCCTGGAGAAGAGACATTTAAAAAGACGAGATTTTACATGGTGCAGGCACAGCTGGACGTGCGTGTGCCAAAGAATGGCTTTGGATTCCTACTGATAGGTTACTTCTTCACTGCCAATGAAATGAGCCAATTCAAGCCAGATTAGATTATGTTAAAGGCAGGTTTGTTGGGAAGCTGCTCTCTCGGGCAAGTTTACTGACCTCCAAGGATTGAGGTCAGGGGAGTCGCCATGGGGAAGGGGGTGGGGAGGAAGAAAGAGAGAAAGGGCCTGCTAGAAGAGAAGAGGAAGAAAAAGAAGGAGAGGCAGTGCAAAATGTCTGGATTATATAAGGAAGAGCCTCTGGGGGAAGGGCAGCCCTGCCCCTGGGCTGGAGAGTTCAAGGACTGGGGCAGGGTGTGCCAAGTAGAAACTGAGGGATGCTGGGAGAACCCAGAGGCCAGATCTGCTTTGGTATGTAAAATACGTGCCTCAATCGCTTGCCTGAAACCAAACACCTACCTCAAACCACAGATGAGCCTCCTCTGAGCCTGACTGTAAGACTGTGGTGCTCTGAGGGGAAAGGGGGTAAGAGGAAGAGCAAATCTGTAAATCTGTCTGTCCTCACATGTACGTTTCGTCATCTCCGCTTCCCTGATCATTTCCCTAAGTTGCTCAACTCAGTGGCTGTCTGTTTATTAACCCACGAATGAGCAGGCGTACCTCTCTTAAGAGATGGGGAAGAGGCAGGCGAATTTCTGAGTTCGAGGCCAGCCTGGTCTATAGAGTGAGTTCCAGGACAGTCAGGATTACACAGAGAAACCCTGTCTTAGAGAGAGAGAGAGAGAGAGGGAGAGGGAGAGGGAGAGGGAGAGAGAAATGAAGAATGAAGATGAAGCCTGGGCAGGCGGGGATGAGGAATCAGTTACTGAAGAGTCTGGTTCATGGGACTGGGTCCTGGGAAGCTTAATGCCATTTTTTTTTTCTTTCTCCTCAATTGATTCTTGTTAGTTCAGCACCTGCCTGGGGCCTTGTTTAAGGATAAACTTGAGGACTTTCAGAGTTGACAGAGTCAACAGAAGCAGGCCTTTGAAAGGATGCAAGGCTGGGTGTGGGTAACCTAAAGTGTTGTGAAAACAGGACTCTGAAGCCCAGGGAAGTGGTCCAGGACCTCTCAAGATAAGAGTGGGCGGGGCTGGGGCTCTGACTATGCCTCAGCCTCCAGCTCATTTTCAGTTCAGGGGCCTCCTCCTCTATTTCCATTCCTAAATCATCTCTCTTCCCAGACATCCAAGACCAAGAATCAACTAAAGAGGGAAGGGTGGGAGAAGTCATTCAAATGAAGGTTGGCCTTTTATTTGTGAGTCAATGGCACCAATGTTTACTTTACTGTCATGAGGCATCACTAGTCGGGATGGAATGGAACCAGGCTGAATTAAACAGAATAAAATAGACCTGTATACATTATACATGACAAGAGTAAGTTGCTTTAAAAGTTGCCTTAGCTACATGGATGAGTAGTTCATGACCTAGTTCAGGTCACAGAACAATTAATGTTTATAAAAGTGGATCAGAGCCAGAAAAGCCTGAGAATCTAGAGAGATGTCCTCATTCTGTAGATGGAGGATGGGTGCCCATGGCCATGCCTGTACTGACCACAGACCTGGGCAAAGAAACATCTTCCTGGCTTTCCTACCACCTTGCCTCCAGGAGTGTCACACCTGCCTGCACCTGCTTCTGAGCCTTGGTGAATGCCGTGCCGTCAGCTTGGGAGGCCTGTCCCTTCCAAATCCATTAGAAGAAACAGTTCTTACATATCAAGGTCACACTTGAACCCAGCCTTCCTTCAGCTATAAAGGAAAATCCAGTCACAACATTTGTGGGAAAATGGATGAGACTGGAGAATATTGTGCTAAGAACCTGAGGCTCAGAAAGCAAACACGTCTTTTCCCCTACACGCTAAGCCTAGATTTTAGAGACCGCATATGTACATGTATGTGGGCAAGGATGCTAGTTATAAAAGGGCACCATGAGAGAGGGGGAAAGGTCTTCAGGAAGGGCTGGGGAGGGAGAGAAGAAAGAACAGTGAGTGGGATAATAGAATAAATGTGATATGAAAGCAGGAGGGACAGAGAGGAGGGACAGGGAGGAGGGATAGGGGGGAGGGAAAGGGAGGAGGGACAGGGAGGAGCTACAGGAGGGAAATAGAAGAGGATCAAGGAACTTTAAATCAGTCTGAAAATGTCCTAATGATCCAGCACTCAGGAGGTAGAGGCAGGTAAATCTCTGAGTCCGGGGCCAGCCTGGTCTACAGAGTGAGTTCCAAGACAGCCGAGGCTACAAGAGAAACTCTGTCTCAAAAAAACAAAAACCAAAACCAGCCAAACAAACAAATAAAAAATCAAACATTGTAGCCAAGCATGGTGGGGCACACCTTTAGTTCCAGCATTCAGGGGGGAGATTTAGGCATAGGCAGGCAGATTTGTGCTAGGCTATCCTGGTCTACATAGTGAGTTCTAGACAGCCAGGACTATGTAGGGAGACTCTCTCAAAACAAGCAACCAAGCAAACAAGCAACCAAGCAAACAAACAAACAAACAAACCATCAGGTACTGATGGCATAGGAAGACTGTGGGAGCCTAGGGAAAGAGAACCTCAAATTCATTGGCTGCTTAGACTACAGAGCGAGCTCAAGCCAGCCTGGGTAACTTAGTAAGACCCTGTCCCAAACTCTAAAGCAAAGTAAAAATGTGAAGAACCCAGGGCAGCCAGGTTGGCTCCCTCCAGAGCAAGGCTTTGTCAGTTTTTTAGAGAAGGTGAGAGGGTGCAGGGTATGGAAGGGGGTGTGGAAAGTGGAAAGGGAGTGCAGGGCAGCAGGAAGGCTTGGGAAAAGATAACTTTATTGAATTTCCTGGGCCAGAGAGAGACGGCTCAGCAGTTAAGAGCATAGGATGCTCTTCCAGGGGACCCAGGTTCAATTCCTAGCACCCACATAGCAGCTCAAGTTCCATTTCTAACTCCAGTTCCAAGAATCTTCTGGCTTCTGGGAGCACTAGGCATGAACATACATACATGCATGCATACATACATACATACATACATACAATGCCCCCCACACATAAAATAATAGCAATAATAAAAGAGTCATGGATTTCCTGCTGTATTTCCAGGTACATTTTAGCCATCCCTGATCATCTAGTGGGTAGTGGCTGACGGGCCAGGTTGCTGTTAGTCTAAACCTGGGCTTGTTACCATCACCGTCCCTCCTGATCCCTCACTGCCTCCACCAAAAGTGTGCACACCAGAACCACCTCTGAAGACTCCACAGTCTTATCAATCAGACTCCAAGCTCGCCACAGAGACATCCGTGTGGACGCACCAAGCACATTCGGGATACATGTGGTGTCTGAGTAAGTGGGTCACCTGATCAGATCAGTGAGTGGGTACTAGCCATCAGAAGGTGGCGTATCTGACCAGAAATAAATAATATTGACTGACTAAATGCATTAGAACAAATGCAGGGTCTCCTTGACCTCTCAAATGGGGGTCAGCTCAGTTCCTCACCTGTCTTCTGGTTTGGAATCACAGGGCCCAGCCACAGCAGGAGGAGAAAAGCAAACCACATGGCTTCAGGCTCAGTAGACACAGAAGTGCTTCAGGGATCAAGGCCCGGCTCCAATAGCTACCCACTCGAGAGAGCTCACCTGGTGTCTTCACACAGAGGAGGAGCCAGGTGTGATTGGCAAGGGGGTGGCACCATGGCTGCATGGCACAGGTGTTCCAGCTGCTTGGATTAACTTACCTAAACAGAGGTCATTTTTACATCTTATGACCCAAACCTGGGAAGAATCTGAAATGCCAAAGTGGCAGGATACAAAGGATCTCAGAGAGTACCTGACCTTCCCATTTTATAGACAAGGACACTGAGGCCTGGGAAGGCAAAGGATATTTTGTTTTCACACCGTTTAATATGGAGAGCTGAGGTGACAGTGCTGGTACCCCAGCTCTCAGTCCATCGATATCCCAATCAGAATGAGAGATATCATAACAGTGGTTCCATCAACTACAGCAATAAACAGGGCACCTCAGTTCCCTTGCAGTGGCCCTCTGCCTGGCAGAACCGTTACAGTTCCGACACAAAGTTGAGGGTTAAGGGAAAGTCATTTTGAGGTTAAGGGGTAAAGAATTTTTCCCTTAGCTCCTATTTAAAAATGCAAAGAATTGCCTCTGTTGGGCATTTGGAAATGACTAACTATGATTTGAAATTGGTTATGTCTTTGGCCCAGGAAGGTTCTGATCTATCCCTGAAAAGGCTCTACTTTAAAAGGAGTGGTGGGTGCCTAAGACAGAAAATAGCCACTCCTAACCCCAACCTGTGGCCTTCCACTAAAAGCTGGTGAAAAGATTCACCCTAAATCTGGGCCACACCTCCTGGTGGCATCCCACAGAAAAGACCACGGACGAAGGGAGTTTTGTTTTTTTGTTTTTTTGCGTTTGTTTGTTTTTAGTCTGCCTACTCTCATTCTTGCTGGCAAGTTCATCTATCCTGCTGCTGAAACAGCAGGATATTAGAGCCCACTTCTTTGGGATTCCAACACAGAGTGAAGACCAGCTGAGACTTCCAGCCACATGGATGGAACAACTACCAGATTCCTGGCCTTTCCATCAGGTGACAGCCAGTGTTGGACTAGCCAGACCAGAGCCTGTACATCATTTTAATAGAGCCCCTTTTATATACATAAATCCTATCAGTTCTGTTTCTCCAGAGAACCCTAATATAGCATCCCATTTCTCTCTGGCATTTTTACTTATGTTTTTTTTTTAAAGATTTATTTATTTATTTTATTTATGAGTACGCTGTCTTCAGACACACCAGAAGAGGGCATCCAATCTCATTACGGATGGTTGTGAGCCACCATGTGGTTGCTGGGATTTGAACTCAGGACCTCTGGAAGAGCAGTCAGTGCTCTTAACCACTGAGCCATCTCTCCAGCCCCTTTACTTATGGTTTTTAAATTTTAATTTTAGTTATTATTTTTGGGTGCATGTATACACATGCATTTGGATGCCAAAAGACTAGGTTTGAGGCTCAAACTCAGGTTGTCAGCTCATATAGTGAGCACTTACCCTCTGAGCATCCTCACCCACTCCTTCCTGCCTTTATTATATGTTTTGTGACAACAACAACCACAAGGTAACAGACATGCAGATAAAGCAAGCAGCAATGTGCTGAGCCTGACAGGACAGAAGGCTGGAAGGAGCCTGGACTGCAAAGTAATCACTATGTAAGCAAACCAGAGTTATCAATTGATGTGCTTCCCCTGGAGC